AGGGAGGGAGGGAGGGAGGGAGAGCAGATGATAGAGTAGGCTTTAGCGATTCCCTGGAGTGTGAGGCAGCGTTTACGGCACTCTCAGAGCAGCCAGAGTGATGAATATTTAAAGACGTGCCTGAAAGAGCAGAGGGGGGGGGGGGGGGAGCAGGGTGTGTGTGTGTCCGTGTTTATGTGCGTGCATGCGTTAGTGTTTGCATGCGCTTGTGAATGTGTGCACATGCCTAAGTGTGTGTGAGGGACGTTATCTCGTATCTCCTATAGCATTTGTGTGTGCTACCATCTATGAATGTATGTGCCTGTCTGTAGTTGGTATGCCTATGTAAGCTATATGTAGGAGTATAGTCAATTTATATAGAGCCATTCTCTTTATATGTGTTATAATGTGTAAGTTTGTCTACGAGTATTTTGTGTCTGCATATTGATTTACACTCATGCAAATGTATATTTTTCTGTCTACAAAAAAAGTCTACTCGGTTATTAAATCTACAGTGTCTATGTGTGTGTCCAGACTATACGCAAGTGCCTGCCCTGTGTGTGTGTGTGTGTGTTTGCACTTCACACAGCCCTGTAGGCCAGCTCTCTGTCTCGCTAAATGGGGATGAATAGCAGAGCGTCGCCGCTGCTCAACAGGAGACGAATGGCTACGGGGCTTTCTGTCTCCAGTTACACACCGATCACTGCCTGAGACGCTCACACACACACACACACACACACACAGGGGCACAAACAGGAATGGTCATCTATCCACCTAAATGTTATCTGGGCTGCACACCCACATGTAGCTGAGCTATCATGTGGGCAATCATGGTGTTCAAAGAGCATGACATCTGACACCACAAACGTCTTCTGACTTTGAGGATTTTTGTGTTGTATTTCAATAGCAGTAAAACGAATGTCAAATATAATTTGACCATCCAAACTGATAATTAGAACTTTCATCCTATGTGCTTTCTTAATGGGATTGTAGTGTATGAAATTATATTTAAATGTAGCAAATCCAGTCATGAAAACCCAGAGAATCACTCTCGTACCAAATACTTGCAAGCTATATCAAACTGAAAACGTATTTTTAATAAATCACAGCCAATTGAATTTGAGGAGATGGATAAATAACAAAGGTTTGCAGAGATAAGAGTTGGAAACTTGCATACTGCCTTTCAGCATCTGAGGAGCTCAGTGGTTCAAGTAAACAAAACACCAGGAAAGATATTAGGGTATACAGTACAAACCACACACCAGCCTACACACACCGAGGCACAAACACGCATCCCCACGCGATGAATGCAAGATATTCCGAGAGGCGAGGAATGGAAGGAAGGGAGTGAGAGAAAGAAAAGAGAAAGCAGGAGTGAGAGAAAGAGAAAGAGTGCATCCTGGGATGCAGAATGCCAAATACAGTGAGATAAGAGTTAATGTATCCCCCCCAGCCCCCTCTTCATCCCTCTCGTTTGGCTCTCTCTTTCTTCCTCCCTCCATCCATCCCTCCCTCCTCCTCCTCCGCCTCCTCCTCCCCGTTTGCTTTGAGGGATGAATAATAACTGCTGCTCTGAGATTTCCTCCCTCGTTTTTCAAAGCGCAGAACGGAGATGGGGAAGGTCTGCCTGGCCCGGGCTGCGCGTGCGGGCTGGAGCACACACACACACTAAAGCAGGGACGCACACACAGATACGCGCACACACACACACACACACACACGCACATCGTCTTGTTCTCGCTGCTCGCCTGGAGCAGAGAAATCAGATCTCCTCCAGAGAAAGACGGGGGGGGGGGGGGTATGGGCGCTGTAGGGAGCCCATACAAAAAAATCCCCTGCAAGCACGTATAGGGCTGTGCACATCACAAAACCCACACGCAGCATCGAGGGAAACCAAGAATAACTAGGAGGATGCGAGCTGCCTCCTGGAGCGACAGGGTGAACTCAAGGTTGGAGACAAATCACCGGTTCAAGCCCCGCCGCCAGGGCCAATCCATCCACGCTGAAGCACCCCTCTGCCGGGCACGTAACGCTGATTGCTTAAAGGCATCTATAGTTCTCCCGCCGTGTGCCGTGCTTTGGAGCTCAGGGCTTGGAGAGAAAGCCTTGAAGATGAGAGGAAAAGCAGACACTAAATGGGGATGCCAGTTTATTTGCGCTTGGTGTCAAAAGGGGAACGTGGGGTGGCGAGGGGGGGGGTGTTTAAGCACAGAGCGCAGAGTTCTCGTAAAAAAAGACAAGCAGGCTGTCCAGGAGGAGCACTTGCACGTCAAGCTGCGACGCGCCGCGGAAATCAGCAGCTAGGTTTCAGAGGAGAGGGCTTATTTATGCAAACAGGCGTACAAGCGCGCACAGTAGGAATCTAGACAAGCCTTGTAAACAAACACACACCCACACCATAAAGCACACAGGGGAGGCGATGTGAGAAGCAGACTGTGAAAACTCTAGTCGTGCCCGAGCAGTGCTTCCACACACACACACACACACACGCACACACACGCACGCACACACACACACACGCACACAAACGAGCTGCGAGAGAGAGATTGAAGTGGCGAATAGGGACGGAAAAGAAGGACAAAGAGAGAAGAGGAGAAGGAGGAGGGATAAGTGCGAAGGTGCGAGTGTCTGGTGCTACTTTTGTGTTGCCAAACGAGGACACGTCAATGAGTGAGAGAGAGAGAGAGAGAGAGAGAGAGTGTGTATGGTAAAAGGGTCTATAATGACTCGAACCATGCGTGTGTGTGTGCGAGCGCGGGCGAGGAAAAAAGTAGAACCGCTTTCCCATTTCAATTCGCAACAGCTGGTGTCGAATTAACACATTTACCAGTGTGCATTTGGAACAGATTAAAATTGTGTGTGGCGTGTGACTGTCTCTACGTGTGTGTGTGTGTGTGTGTGTGTGTGTGTGTGTGTGTGTGCGTGTGTGTGTGTGTGTAAGCAGATGAGGGCCAAAACAAGAGTGTGTTTGTGTGTGGGAGTGTCTGTGTATTAACGCAATGGATCAGGGCAGGAGGGACAGAGAGAGGGAGAGAAAGAAAGAGAGAGCAGCAGGGAGGGATGTAGAGAAGGGGGGAGAGAAAGAGCGAGAGAGCGAGAGAGAGCTCTACCCAACGGCTTTAGCTGCTGCCCTGGGCCGTCTCTCTAAGCCCTGTTTAGGAGGCTTTGGAGCTCAGATAGAAATAATCCCCCACTCAGACACACACACACACACACACGATAGGCATGCACACACATAATAAAAATAAAAATGCACACACGCGTACATACACAAACACGCGGGAATGCTCACAAACAGACACGCAAGTCGAGGCGAAAAAACAAGTGCGCACATAGGCCTACGAGGCAACAAGCAGCGACAGCACATTCGCCTTGACACGAAACCAACCACCCGCCTACACACACGAGCAGAAACACACACACACACACACACACACACACACCGAGGCTGCTGCTTCCGCACGGCAGAGCACAGCGACATCAGCACGGCACCGTGACAAACACTTTACACACTCCAGCACTCAGCAGAGGGGAGGGATAGAAGGAGAGATTGGAGAAAGAGGGGAGGAGGACGAGGCGGAGGAGGATATGAGCCAGGGAGGGAGGTGAGTGAGCAGGGGAAGAGGGAGGGGAGGCTAACAAATTAATAGGAGCCGGAGATATACACAGCCAGCGCTGCAAACGGGGGAGGTGGAGAGGGAGGAGGAGGAGGGGGTGGAGGACGACGACGACGACGTGAGAGCAATTCATTCCCGTTTTCTCCTCGTTCGCTCTCTGGAGGAAGGCTGCGCGAGCGAGCGTATTTGCTCAAGAGAAGGGGAGGGCGGGGGAGGAAGAGAGGGGGCTTTGTTTGGCAGAAGAGAGGAAAAGTGGAGTAGGAGATTCTCACGTTTTTTAATTATTATTATTTGGTTTATTATTATAGAATTAAATGAATTGACTATGTGCATTATCCTGCACAGAAATCATTAACTCACCTTTTTCTATTGTTCTGTGTATTACTTTGTTTTTTTTTATTTAATTAATTCTCTAAAATGTTTATTTGTTTTCCTTTTAAAGAAAACATTTTATTCTTGGTTCAAAATGTTTATGAACTTACCGGTACATTCCAAATGTATAATTATGTTAATTGTACAAAGCTTTGGCAATACTGCATGTCATTATAGTCATGCTAATAAAGCTTTGAATTGAATGGATTGTGGTGACATAAAAACACAGAAGGAAAAGGTGTCGGAAAAAAAGAGGGGAAATAATTAAGACGTGAGGAAGAGGAAGAGAAAGTGACAGGGAGGGAGGGGGGAGAGGAAAGGGGGGGGGGGGGGGGGGGGGGGGGAGTTGTTTTGGGGTTTGCACAGGATGCAGTTTGTCATCTTCATCAGCCGACAGTTGGGGGGGGGGAGAGAGGGAGGAGGGATGGTGAGGTGAAGGAGGAGGAGGAGAGGGGTGAGGTGAGGGGGGGATGGGCGGTGTTTAAGCGGAGCCTTTGAGAGACGTTGACCCTGTAATTGACCTGTGTCTCCGCCTACATCGCCGGGGCGACAAGCAGAGCCGCTGCAGCTAATCACTTAGTAACCCTGACCTGTCAATCACACCGGTCTCCGCGTGGAGGAAGGGAGGGAGCGGCAGCAAATGAAAGAAAGAGGGGGAGAGAAAGAGAGAGAGGGGGGGGGAGGAAGGGAGTAATAACAGCACCGAGGTTATCATTTACTGGACTGCTCGCTTCCCTCAGCCGATGAAGCCCTGGTTTTAAAAAAAGCCAATAAAATGCTCTGTGCCTCGAACACACACAATCTCCTCGTGCTGCTAGAGAGAGAGAGGCTTTCTGAGAGTTCAGATAAGAGGGAGCAAGAGAGGGGAGGCGGGTGAGGTAGGGAGGGGTGACGGGTTGAGGAGAGATAAGATAGCTGCATAGTGAAGCCAACATGCCAATAAAACAACGGAGCGCTGAGTTTATGTGCTGTATAGGTGTTGTGTGTGTGTGTGTGTGTGTGTGTGTGTGTGTGTGTGTGTGTGTGTGTTACCTGTTGATGAGGGGGAAGATGGACACCACCAGGTAAACGGAGGGATACCACTTCAACGGTTTGATCTCCTCGGCCAAGGAAACCTGGAGGAGAGAAAAGTGACTGCTGAGAAACGTAATACTCACATTAACACCCTTGTCTCTCAACACACACACACACACACACACACACACACACACACACACACACACACACACACACACACACACACACACACACACACACACACACACACACACACACACACACACACACACACACACACACACACACACACACACACACACACACACACACACACACACACACACACACACACACACACACACACACACACACACACACACACACACACACACACACACACACACACACACACACCACACACACACACACACACACACACACACACACACTTCTTTACTTAACTTGAAGATCTTTGCACTTATGCAAACAACAAAGGCCAATTTAAACCCTAATAAAATATTAACCTGCTGATAATACGCAATATCCACACAGTTATGAGGAGAAACGGGGATTCCAATTAAACTGGAAGCCAATACTTATGCCGTAATGTGAAGGGGGGGGGGGGGGGGATGGATTCAATATCTGGTGGCCGGGCGGGCAGGAAGACGGAGAGATGCGGCAGCAGCAGCAGCAGCTCTAAGCCGAGGAGGGGGAGTGCTTTTACAAGCCGTTATCTAATTCCCCGGGGAGGAGGACTCTTGCGCCCGGAAGAGGCTGAGAAGCGCGGCCCCTGGATCGATTTTCCGTGCTGTGCTGTTTTTCCACCCCTCCTCCTCCTCCTCCTCCTCCTCCTCCTCCCCCCCTAGGCTAGAGCGCAGTAGCAGCGCAAAGCCTCCCTCCCTCCTCTCTCTCTCTCTCTCTCTCGCTCTAACACACACACATAAAGTGGAGGCCAGGAGGCAGGCCCACGAGCTCTGGTCTCTACCCCCACATGCTGGAAATTAATTACTCACCAGAAAGACCCCGAGGCGCGCAAGCTCTAACGCAGGCATTTTAAACAATTCAAATGAAAATCACGAGAGCCCCCCGGAGGTATTTCTTCTTTTGTGTGTGTGTATGTGTGCTCGCACGTTGAATATGTTGACAATAAGAGCCACATTTTCACCGTGTAACGTATACTGGCTGTATGTGATCAGCTGAACAGAACTCGGTCGTGTTTCCACATCACAGCCGGTTACAGCATAAACCCAAAGGCAAGCATTAGGCTTAGCCCTATTAATGTCTATCATGATGGGGAGCTCTGACATCACCGGACATGTCAAGCTCTGCCTATTGTCATCTCAAGTGTGTGTGTTTGCCTGGTGTGTGTGTGTGTGGGATGATTGTGTCATTGGAAGAGAGGAAAAGGGCAAGCCGCGAGCCTGAAGGATGCTAAGTGGAAAAGAAGATTTGTGGGTGTGTGAGCCACTGCAGAAATGGTGTTTTAGAGAATGCATGGAACCAGTATCTCAGATGAAAATTCGGTGAGGTGTAGAGGCAGGCATTTGAGGAATTTCAATGCACAAGAGACAGGATGTGGGAAAGGAGGAGGAGGAGGAGCGCGGCTAAAGAGCCTGGTGTTTTTAATCACAGTCCTCCCGTGTCAGAGGCCCCGGCGCTGCTCGGGAAGCAGAGGGGAATGGAACCGTAATTATGTGCGGCGGGCACTGCGGTCCCAACGTTAATGACGCAAGCTAGATTACAGACGGTTATCGGGAGCAACCCATCCCCTTTACCACCCACTGTACTACTCACCCTCACTCGCGGAGGAAAAATACTCTGAGAATAACAGCATCAGGTTTCATCGTCAAATTCAAGGACTTTTCAAACTACGTATTTTTTGAGTGGAAATGACAGACCAGTGATCATCATAAGGGGTTTACTCATGGTTAATTTGTATTTATATAGCCACATTTTTTAAATGACCAATTTGACCAAAAAGAGGCTTTAAAATTATACCCATACAGAGGATGTAATGAATTTAAGTCGTTTAGGAAAGAGATTTAGAGTGTATTGGTAAATTGTATTTTGAGAAATAAGTAATTATATGCGTTCATATAATTGTTTTGACAACTGCTGTATCGAGCTTTAAAAATGTTTTCTTTTTTTTTGTATTGTCTTTGCCTTTTTGCCTTTATTGATTGCTGGAGATAGGCAGAACATCAGGGAAGAGAGGGGAGAACATGCAGCAAATAAATAAAAGGGGTAGTGGTCTGCATGAATGACTCATTCTAAACATGCGTTTGCTCTGCCTGGTGTGCTGCAGGTACCCCCCCTCTATCTCCATTTTTAAACTTAATGAAAAAAGCATCCTCCTGTTCTTGCCTTCATTAAATGTTTTCTATGTCTAATACAAGTTGAGCAGTTTTCTTTTTCTCCAATATCCATTTTTAAGCCAACGTGGACAAGAAATCCTTTAGAAAATATAAAAAAGGAGATTTAAACACCTACAATATTATGACAGCTAAGCAAACTCAGGGATGAGGTTTGGTAAAATTGAAAGCTCCAAAACAACTATAAAATGGCACAATTGGCGAGATTGTTCTGGCTGGAACTAAAATGCCATATTTTAATTATTTTCCATAATCCTTTCTTAAAATACCTTGACTACACAATTTGTTTTTCTAAAAATCCAGAAACAAAGATTTTCAGGGACAGTTCAAACCCAAAAGCATCCTGTCAAGCAACCAGAAGTACTGCTGAGGACTCGAAACAACACATACTTGACAGCTGGGAAGTGGATCCCTACAAAAGGAGTTGTATGTGTTTTGTCAAAGCCACATGTCGTTTTGGAGAACCCTTAGGAGACAAACCCAACTGTCCTTGCAGCTTACTCAGAGTAAAGAAGTACTTCAGGATGTTGGTGACATGTAAAAAGTGAAACCTGGCACATTAATGGCACACGCATGCAGAGGCAACACTCACCAAGAATCAAGGCTGCGAACGCACACACACACACACACATGTAAACAGACACACAAGTAGACACCTCGCATTGTGACTCAAGGCAAAGCTTGTGTGGATCAGTAAACAAACACCCTGGGAAGATAACGAACAAGCAGCTCGCTGTTTACTCAGCCAGCTTTGTTGCTACCCGACGGGACTGAGCTGCTGTGTGAGCAGTTGTGCAAATGTCTTTAAAGGTGTGTGTGCGGCCTGACTTAAACACCCTCTCCTGAATATCCCCCTCGCTGACCTGTGCTGCTGCAAGACCTCGTGGTGTGTGTTTGTGTTCTCATGCATGACCGCAAACAAATTGCTCGGGACACACAGAGATGTGTCACAATCATGTGACTGACGGACCTGATAACTGCCAACACTAGTTATGGACGTCATTACTCCGGCCAGACACACAGACACACAGACACACAGACAGACAGACAGACAGACAGACACGCACACGCACACGCACACGCACACACCACACACGCACACGCACACGCACACGCACACGCACACGCACACAGGGGGGGATGGTGCTGGGCTGAGTCAGAGAGAGATAAAAACAGGATCAAGAATGGCGTACGCAGAAAACCACATGTGTGACCACACAAAACATGAGAAGCGTAGATATGTGTGTGTGTGTGTGTGTGTGTGTGTGTGTGTCCGGCGTCCGTGTGTACAGTAACAGAGAACATGTGAGGCGCAGAAGGAGGGAGATGTGGCGAAGTGAATTGAAATAACCAGAGCCAGCGGTCTTCAGAAACCCAGCAGGAATCGCTTTCTCTAGTTTACACCTGCTGCTACACACACACACTCACACTCACACACTCACACACACACACTCACACATGAGCCAGGGCTCGCTGGCTTGGCAAGCACAATCGGGGAGGCTGTTGTTGTTGTTTTAAAGCATCGCAGCGCGTGCATAAACTCTCATAAATATTCATGCCCATGAACCTGGCCTGCTGCTTTATTCATGCTGGGTATGAGTACAAGAGTGAGAGAGATGGAGGGAGGGAGGAAGAGAGGGAGAGGAAAATGAAAGAGAGGGGGGAAAGAAAGAGAGCACAAAGCAAAAAGGCAGGGAGGAAAACAGAGGAAAACAAGGTGAGCTACTGGGAAAGAGATATACGAGGAAACGGAGAGTGTGATAGAAACCACTGCTGACTTATTTACACTCTGTGCAACACATAGCAATTAGCCCACATGAGCAGAGTGTGTGTGTGAATGTTGCTGACACACATTCATGCACACACACGTCACTTGTGAGGGTTACGCCAGTTCAGTGTGCAGTAATTACATCTGCCACTTAGGGGCAGCATCTACATAACCTTAACCCTAACCTGCCCCCCCCCACCCCACCTCCCAAACACACACCTCTCCCTGCGGGGTGGAGGTGTAACACTAGAGCAAGGGAAGGTGGGGTGAGGTAACCTAAAGCAAGACTGCACCTTTTCAACTCTTCCTCAGTAAGGCTGTGACTCTGCTCACCTCTGTGGAGGGTGCTCGGTGGATTGCAGCGCTTTACATTTTAATTATTGGTCGTCTCCATATTCATGCACCAATGCGTGGGCAGGTAAGGGTGAGGTGTCTTTCTGGAGGACACTTGAACAAGATGTCTGTATAATAGCCAGATAAAGACTTAAAGGGGAAATACATTCCAGAACCAGAAAGAATTTGATTATTTATTCAAACATGTTTTCCAGCAATTTAGTACTGCGCTTCCATAAAGTGTACGGACCTATGAGAGACACATTTCAAACAGCAGAGGCCTAGAGATCTTGACATTTAGTCCTAAGTACGGGTCAAACCCTCTGTAACCTACATTTACCAAATGCGACCCATAACATATTTTTGTTAGACCCTCTCTGACCCGTGTTGACAAACTGAGTCTCCCTGACCTTTAGCTGCCAGCACTCTTTGTCACAATGGCGTCTGACAATTTCTAGAACTTTCTGGAAGTTTAACATTCACACCCAACTCACACCATGATAAGCCAGCTGTGTGGAGGTGAGAAAGTTCTCTCTCAGGCGTCCTTTTTTAATCCTTTCACAACTTTCTATGTGAACAATCATGATGAACAATGTCTTCCAGGTGAGTCTGTGCAATATTACCCCCAATTTTTTAATTGACAAAGCGTCTCATTCTCTTAAATCTTTTTGAAAAACCTTCCTGTGTAGATGTTCGGCTAATGTATAAAAACGCTCTGATTTGAGCTGTGGTCTTTATGTGAACTAAACAATCAGCGTCATCATTTACATTTAATATTAATTAATTGCAACTATCTGTCTACCTTTCTCCATTCCCCGATTATTTTTTTCCTCATGTCCTGTTACTCAATCTGACTTTTTTAGGTATTAATATATTTGGCAGGTAACTTTTCTAGTTCCCTTGTGTTTCAGTAAGGTCAGGAGCAAAACAGACGGGCACCTCAGCTCCAAAATTTAAACACGTACGCATACTCACGCACCCACATTTAAATAAACATGCACACACACACACAGTGGGAAGCGTAGGTGTCACAAGGTCAGATTGCTCCCCGCTGTTTGACACCTAACAGCGTGCGAGCATAAAAACTAATCCCGCGCACACACTAATCCTCACGATTGTGTGTATGCGTGTGCATGCCTTGAGTGTGTGTTGATACATCCGACAATGGGACAAAGCTTTACCTTTCGTCTCTCTCTCTCCGGGTTGAAGGTTCCCAACCATGACTGCATCTGTGCATAAAAGACACAAAATGGGAAGAAAAGGTGAGGGCAGTTACTTTGAACAACAACAACAAGCAGAATAGCAATATGATCATTTAAATATGTTGTTTTTTCCTAGAGAGTTTCCTGAGGTCTAGAGGTGAACAAATATGACATTGGCTATCACTCCAATGCTGAATCCCTCCACCTTATTACACATCCCTGCAAAAATGGCCTAATTCACAGCAGAGTGCAGAGCTTAGATGCAGAGGGGAGCACTTAGACAGCTCCCAGCATCTCACAAGAAGAGGGTACTGATCAGCTTCAGCGCACACAATATGACATGAGGAAGAAGATGAAAAGGCAAAAGGGTGCGGAGAAAAGAGGGACCTTTTTTGAAGAAGTGTTAAAGAAAAAGGAAAAAGTGGAGCAAACATGGCAGATCTGAGATCTCCGGAGAGAACGTGGGAACACTTTTCGCTCTTCCTCTGTCTCCTCTCTCAGGGGAATGCAGGGAAAATGTCAACAGCCACGCACAGGAAAATAGACACACACTCACACGCACGCACGCACACACCCGGGCGTGCACAAGACTAGGACTGGTAATGGTGGGATAGGGGCGGGGGGGGGGCCGTAGGAAACCAGAGGGTTTATGTAACCCAAGACTTCATAGACAAATCTCTGGAGGCCCAGAGCTTCACACACAAAAAGAGGCAGCTTTGCACTAACAGCTCCTCTGTTCTGCAATTTATTAACTCAATGTTGCCATGGTTTCACCGCACTGACGTGATTGTCATTGTAAATCTATGCGTGACCGTGGTGTGCTTGTGCAGTGCAAGAAAAAAAACAGCCATTTGGTCATTAAATTAGTTCCAGAGCACCACCTCCCATCCAAATGAACAACCACCGCTAAGAGGAATATAAATCAGGCTTCGGCCAGGTCTCCAGTGTGAGTACCTGCCGTTGGTTGCAATCTCTTTTAAGGATGTGCCACCTAAAGTTGAGCAATTCAGACAGAAAGTATTGATGCGTGAGGCTTAGGCAGGAAGGATGTACAAATCACATTCATAAAACAAACACAGCACCACACACTCAGACCTCTCTGTCGCGCCTGATAATGACTCATTAGTTTTCAAATCCTCTAGTTAGTATGAGCTCACACTGTCCCTCAGAATGTGTCCGTGTTCCTCTAAATAATCCTGTTGTAAACAGCTTGGATTTGGTAAACTAATGAGGTACGGAGTAGTTTTCCTACCCCTATCCTCCCCCTCTCCCCCGCCTGTCTCTGGAAAGCGGAGAAACTGCTCCGTCCAGCTCACATCGCGCCTCTCTTCACTCTGCCTCCTCGGCTTCATCCCTTTTCCCGATGCGGCGCCACCTACCCTGCTTCCAAAGCTTTTGAAACTCTTTCAAGTGAGACAGCCTGCAGCTGAAAAGAGATAAGGCTTGAGCTCTTCATAAATATGATAGAGAAAGCAAAACGGCAGACTGAAGAGGGGGAAGAGGCACGGAAGGAAAATTATTGGGAACGGGAAACTGAGGGAGGATAGAGACAGAGACAGATGGAGCTGGAAAGGAAAAGAGAGGCAGAGGAAACAAGAAAGGTGGGAAACAGAGATACAGAGAGACAGGAGGATGAGGGAGAGAAGGCTGAATACTGTGAGCTGAATGAGTTATGAGATGTAGGTGGCAACGCGGCTACATTCAATTCATCCTCTTTATCACATTCATGATAAAGAGCTGCGTAGTCTCTTTCCCCTTCCCCTCAGCTACCTGAAGTCATGTGTCTGCAGCGCGGCTAATCTGTCACACCCACTCATCGCTGTCTCTCCAGACCAAATAAACAATACTTACATGCACGATTTTAATTTATTGTGAGACTGTGGTGAGTTTTACCTGATTATCCATTACTTTTTTTGGTATATCAAAAACCCACAGACATATTGTTGGAGCACGAGTCAGCCAGCACCTTTCCGCTGGCAGTACGGCCACACTGTGGTGTGTGTTGTCAGATGAGGGGAATGAAAGATATGCAATATTTTAGGAATGCTCCCTCTTGGCTTTCTACTGTGCCCTTACAATTGAAAATAACACAGAGCTATGAAGAGGAGAGGAGGTAAAGCAATAATTAAATTCATTATCGACACAAATGTACTTTTATGAGAAGTTGGAATAAGTGAAAGGTGGATATTTGGTTAAAAAATGTAAGCCAGCTATAGAGTTTCAATTTGACTTTGATGCACCCCTTTGAGATGAATTAAATAGAGTACATTTGAGTAAATAAGGAGCAATAACTATGATTCAGAGTCTCAGCCAGGACTGTGTCCACCACCATTTTAACATGCAGAAGGTAGCTCGCAATGCAAACATTTGCAACAATGAGAGCTCACAGAGTAAACCAAAACAAAGAACAAAGAAGTTCATATTACAACACACACAGAGAAAGAGTGACTTCATTGTCTAACCAAGTAGACATTACTCCACAATATATTTACATTGCATATACAGTGTAGATGTTTTCTATTATAGTAATCTTCTGAGTGTGAAATAATAGAGCTTCCAAATGATTATTGACTATCAGAGTTGCACTGTTTCTTCTTCCATGCATGGACAAATTGTCCACTAAAGCCCACTCCCAACCATAACATTATATATCAAACACAGAAAATGTTTTCAAGGGATTTTTCTTGACTCTTGTGAAAACACACAAACATCAAACCTGTCCGAGCAATCAGAAATGTCAGCATGTGCTAATGTCACATTTCTAAAAGGTCACAATGCACTTGGATTCAGTTCAACTGCCAGTGTTTTTGGACGGCTACTGACTGCACGCATGTTGAGCACTCACCCTCGCATTGGCCACGCAGATTATCCTGGCGTAGCAGCAGATCATCAGGAAGATGAGGCTGAACAACGGCACGTACCATCTGCAAACGAACAAACACGAGCAGGTCGTAAATGAGCAATACATACAGTGAACCCTAACCCATACAGTGTTATTACAAGAACGTTTGATTTACTGTGGCTTCCTTATAGTCTTGGATCAGGAGGAGTAAGAGAAGGTTTTTGATAACTGTTTTAGAATAAAGAAAATGTCAAATGACGAAAAAAAACTGGATTTAATTTGTTTCTTAGCCACGAGTAGAGTGTCATATACCCTAATGGAATTTACACTGTGATAGGATGTAATAACATACTAGGTGTCCAATGTTTAAATATTAGCGCTGTCTAAACCGATTATAGATACAAAAACATTTAATAAGATTTCCTCTGCGGCAATGCAATCTGAGAAGGGCGTTATTGTTAGATATGATTTGGTTTGGACCTGGACCAAAGCAAATTCAGATGTTTATGCAAAACCCTTAGCTTTTATATTATCTTGTATCTTGATTTTAAACATGAATCATTCCTCATTTCATGCACTCATGCCACAAGCACCCATTAAGGAATGTTTATATAAAGGTTAGACTGTTCAGACGGTGTAATCTTTGCAACATTTTCCTAAATAGCTGATTAATAGATGACACATAGTTTGTGCATATACAGCAAAGAGTAGAACAGGCCTGACTCAGCACACGGATCGTGCTGCTCATAGTTTCAGTGAGCAGATAGAGAGGCACACAAAGAACAAAAGATAATGCCAGTCAAGTCACAACACCGGAAATGCGTGACATTCCTACGGGATGAAGGGTTGACAATCGAGAGAGGCGCGGCGGGGAATAACATGTCAGGTATTTCTAAGCGAATGAAAGCGAGCGAGACGAGCGAGGAAAACAGTGGAGATGGATTTGTTGGAATGGCAGCCTTGTGTTATGCAACCTCTTGGGAGGTGATGTAAGCTCGGAGGAGTTTCAACCTCTCCCTGTTATCATGAAACGGGCCTTTGTCTCCCTTTGATAGACAGGTTCCTGGCCACGACGTCTCTGTTCAGCCTCAGTAACTCTGAGCAGTCGGGACCAAAGACCTCCAGAGCACCTGGCACTGGCAGGGATGCGCCGGCCAAATGCACCTACGTGATAATCATATTATATTATGCAGAGGGAGGACATCAAGAGTTACCACGGGCTTGAACATGACCCGGAGGAAAACAACTGAAATTCAAAGCAGAGAGAGTGAATCTGCGTCTGACCCATAAATACAGGCACACATGCTTCCAAAAGGAAAATGGATTGGGAATAAATGTCCAACACTCTGCTGAAAAGTCCTTGACACGTGTGCTATAAACGGCAACTTTAAGCAGGATAAAAAAAAATGCAAATAGTGGGTCCTTGGCCTAATTTAACTTCGTCCACACTTGTTTTTCAAGCCTGGGGGTCCAGAAAATCCTGTGTGGAATTAAACTTTTTATTGGCAGGGGATTCTGAGATGGTAGGCGTTTGTTTCACAGCAGAAAACACGGAGAGGGAAAAGGCTGCTTTACACATCGTGTTTCTTTATGTCTTGTAGGGAACATCTATATACAAAGAACACCCTCTTTGAACATGTGTGTATGTGCGCGTCCACGCAGGTTCAATAATGGCACGGGACAATGATGAAAGCGTTTCAGGGGAGACCTGCGCGAGCGTCACCTCAGTGTGATTTAATAACCCAGCTCTCCGGAATAAACAGGGTCCAATTACGCCAGCGCACGTCCCGTTAATGATGGAGAGACGAGGTGGGGGGTGGGGGGGGGGGGGGGGGGTAGGGCGGGCTGGTGGAGAGGAGAAAGGAGGGGGTGGCCTTTTTAACGATAGTGTGGGGGGGCTGCGAGGAAGAGAGAATGACGGGCGGCAGCTACAAAGTGCTCTAATTAGCATGATAATGATCTGCCATTAGAGTCCGCTGTGCTCTACAGCTGAGCACTACCCAGAGAGAGAGAGAGAGCGAGAGGGGGAGAAAGAGAAAGAGCGGAGGGGAGAGAAGACTCTGAGTGGGCAGGGGAGGATAAAAGTGAAGACAAGAATAGAGGTGAGGATGGAAAAGGTGGATGTATGACAGCAGATTGTGGGTCAGGACCAGGAAGAACAAAAATAAGAAAGAAGCATCGGGTGATTAAAAGACGGGGAGAGGGATAAGTTCGCAGTGAGAATGAAAAGGAAAAGCAGGCTGCAGCCAGGAGAACGACTATAGGGAAAGACGGAAAGAGGGATTTCAAGAGTGAGCAAAGGATGGAAGCCTGAAACTGTCAGGAAGAAAGATCGTCACAAACAGATTCAATTTCTCTGCCTCGGCCTGGCCCTCCCTCCAGCAGCACTCTGAAGGGAAGAATGAGGCCTGGATGAAAGCAGCTTTAATTGAAGTGCTAGTCGGAGAAGAGAGAACTATAGGGACCCGACTGTGCGGGTTAGTGCTCAACTTTGACAAACAAGATCCTACTGCTGAGAGAAAGATCACGATCTACCTGTTCAACCACTCAGACAGGGAGGACACAAGCCGAGGGAGAGACAGGGAGGAGGAGGCACAACGGCCAGGAAGAGCAGGTATAGGGCGTCGCCACATGCACTAATGGAAAAGTTAAAAGGAAAATAGATTATAGCCATGCTAGTGACTCCGTGAGGGTGTAGTCTGGAGTTAAATGTTAGTTTTAAAAGGCTCACAATTGCAGTTTTACAGAGTTTACGAATTGCTTTGGTATGCAGTCCAAAAACAGGATACAAGGCAGTATAAACAGCACAGCAGAAAGCTAAACAGTAAAGGCAAGACAAAAAAGGTTGTTTATCAGGTATAATGTTTCACCCGAGTAGTGTTTTTGCATGCTTTTATTAGCTGTTGAGCACTTAACGCTAAGTACAGCTGCGACTGACAAAAATATCAATTGTTTTGTCGATATTTTGTTATAAATATAGAAAAAGTTAAGAATTTAACCTGGTGATTGCACTGATTGAAAAGGTCAAGGATCACCGAAGTTATTACAATCTATTCTGAGAGGAATATAAATGTGTGACCCAAATTTCATGGCAATCCATCTATTCCTGTCACCTCTCTACTTTGAATTATCTAGTAAAAAGCTTGAAATTCCCCAAAACATTTTTAAGATATAGCCAATGGTAACCATGAATCTAATCTAAAAGTACAGAAAGTAGTGTCAGTCTATTTTATAATGTTTCATTCTTCCTCTAGGCAAAATTAATATATGTAATACATGTCATGGCAATCCATCGAATTGTTGCAAAGATATGCAACTAAAACATTTTTTTGACGTGTTCAGTACTACATGAGTTTTACCTTTACCCATGGATGCAAAATAAGAACGGATTATATGATTATATGAATACTTTCGTGACGTTTCGCTCTCTCAAAAGTTGGGCCATTTTGTCTTCATGCGCCAATGAGCAACTCTCATAGGAATGAACGAGGCCCCGCCTCCCACGCTGTATCCAGTTCTTATTATACATCCATTGACGCTTTCACACCGGAGTACTTTTCCCAGGAATAGTTCCGATAATTCCTGGGATTTTGCGTTCACACCAAAAAGATCTGGAACTAGAACTTTTTTTTGCGAACCTTTTCACCCCTTTTTAGGAGAGAGAAAAAGGTTCCAATTTCTGATTGGCTGGGCGAATTGCAAACCACGCCCCGTAAAACTCTGAAAGGTTTTTGTGAAGCCGCCATTTTATTTGCTCGCATTAGCATTATTAGCATTAGCATTAGCCCAGCACACCAACGGAGAGAGACTAACTTATGGCAACACAAAATAAAACATGGGAGCGGTGGAGTGAAGTTGGCGCTTCTGGCGATTTACTCGGAAGACGCTACCCATCAGCTTCTACTGAAGCCAGTCCCCAACTCCGGGGAACTCCGGGACTTCGGGTGGCAGTATACGCCGTGAAGTTGTTTGCGGCCTGCCAGTAAACCCAAAGCAGAAGAAGAAGAAGTGACGTCAGCGGCTTCATTTGCCTAATCCTCCCTCAGGGACTTATTCCGGTGTGAACGCGATCTACTAGGACAGTTCCCAGGGACTAAAGAGTTCTGGGGGGACGAAGTACCGCAAAGTACTTGGCGTGAAAGCGGCTATTGTGGTGAGCGTTATTTGGTCAGTTTTTCGTTGCTGTGTCTGACTGCGGCCCATAATACACACCGATGGGGACCTCTGAGAGCAGTGACTCAGCTACGCTCGAGTGCTTCCAATTGCTGACTCAACCCCTGAAATTCTGCACCTCCGTCACTAAAACGCTGTCCTCTGCTTTTCATTCTCCTTCCTCTTTCATCCCCTCTAACAGCGTCCTCCTCCTCCGAGCCTCCCCCGCCTGCTCTGTCCTGTCTGCGCTGCTTCGCTGAACTCTGATGAAGACACACTACGGGGCGTGGGCAGAGACGAGGGCAATCTATTTCTCTCACTCTCACTCTCCTTCCCGTGCTGCCATGCCGCCCCTCTTCCCTTCCCCTGCTGAGTAATACCCTGTGTCTCTAACTGTACCCCGTATGTCTCCCTCCCACCCTTTCCACTTTTCACCTTTAATACTCAAACCTCTCCTGTGCTTTACCCAGCGAGCTGTCAGCAGGGTGTGTGTGTGAGTGAAAGTGTTTTTCCTTGACGGGCTCTGCCTTGGCCTCTAATCTCTCATCTGGTTTGATGTAATTAGAGCTAATGAAGATTCCCTGATCCTCTGAGCGACTCGTCCCCCCGGGCCACGACAGCGTGGAAAACTAGAAAGAGCCGGGAAGCAGAGGAGCGCTGATAAAAGAGACACAGGCTCGTTTAGCGCAGCTGATAGCTATGTGTTGTTCGGCATGTGTGTGTGTTTGTCTGTGCAAGTCTGTCTGTGTGTGTGCATGCTTATTTGTTTAGAAAGATTGATTCCCTGCTGATGCTGCGAGCAGCAGCGCGATTACCTTGGCTCATAGCGAAGTGTTGTTGTGTGCGTGTGTGTGTGCGTTAGTGTGTGTATGTGGCTAAGCGTCTGTGCTGGGGGATTGGCAGAGTCTTTGCAGACTTAGGGCCAGTTGCAGAAAGCAGTAGACAGGCATAATCCTTCATAGCCGTCCTAAACACTTAAATACACAGTGTAGCAACTCCCCTAAATCTGACAAGGCAGAGGCAGGCACATCCACATGTGCGCACACACACACACACACACACACAAACACACACACATCTTGGCCTTACACCAAGTGGGAAAAAACCCTGCAGGCTCCCCTGACATGCAACCCTTCACATTTCCCCGCAGAGACAGCCCTCCCGCCGCCCCCTCTTCCCCATCACCCCCAGTGGGGGAAGCTTTGATGCCGGCGCTGAAAGGGTCTACTTACATCCCAAATCTCCAGGCTACGTGATCGTCTGTGATCCAGCTGGGGGAAGAGAGAGAGAGAGAGAGAGAGAGAGAGAGAGTGGTGAGGGGGTTACAAAGGAAAGGGAGAGCGTGAGCGGAAGACAGACTTGTGTGACTGCGGAGGGGGAAACTGTGCAGCTGTAGCTATTAATAAGCCGCGAGTGGAAAGAGAGAGCCGAGCCCGGAGATTAAGACTGTCCCAATTCTCATTCCGCTGGCCTGGCCTCTTCCCCTATCCCTCACCCCTTTGACTTCCCTCTAAACAAATGATGCCTTTCCTATTCACAAAAAGAAGCTGGGAGTGTTTTACTGTTCAAAGATATTCTGATAATTGCCAATTTTGATCACATAAAATCTTATGAGAGAAGAAGCCTGTCTGGAGCTGGACTGAGGCCAGTAATGTGGCCCTCTTTGAAAGGAAATATATTTAACAGCAAATCTGCTGTGGCAGGCTGAAGAAACGTAAAAACTAAGCTGCAGCTGGACGCTGGGCTGTACTCACCACCAGGCTCCCGCGGGGCCGTAGTATCCCTTCAGCAGCGGCAAAGAGGCCATGACTAGAGGCACCCCCCACGCCATCAGATGGTACAACCTGATAAAAGACAGACATTTATTTCGTTATAGGCGCAGAGAACAGGGAGCTTCGCAGAGAGAAAAAAAAAAAAACGACTAAATCAATTATTTTCTTCAGTTCATCCCTTTGTTGCCACCGACATCAGGGTCATTTTTCAGGTGCAGACAAATGCCTATACAGCCAGAGTGCCAATTACTCATGGTAATTTAAACCATAATTACTCTCAGTGTTGCGGAAAAGATGATTCGCAGAGATATGTCTGCATAAAAACCACAAGCAGGATGTGGAGTCTCACTCAAGAGGGGCTAGTGACAAAAATATATGTAGTCAAAGCTGGATAGACTTCATCGCCCATGTATAAAGAAAATGGTTAATAAGAGAGAGGCTCTGACTGGATGTCAATTAAAAAACGATAGGATCTCTAAGAAGTTTGAAAAATCTCAATCACTGAACTCTGTGTGTGTCAGTGTCAGACAGATGAGGTGTGCGCTCCAGTGTCTTGGGCGTAGGTGTGGGCGTCGATATTTTATAGAGCGTATAGCGTCGCCCGGTCAATAGAGGGAAGTCCTCGATGACTTGTTCCAAGTGTGGTCAATCGAGCGGTGGCGACACGGCTGACACACTCTCAATCCCTCTCGGCTTGTGCGGCACAGACACACACACACACACTCTCACTCTGATTACACTGGGTGACACTGTATCTCCCCTCTCTGCCCTCAGCTGATGGACAGCAGTGTGAGAGTGTGTGGGAGGTGGTGGAGAAAGGGAGACGTCTGGAGGTTTAAAAAGGGCAGAATAGTGGGTGGGAAAGACACATATGAAATGTAAAGCTCCAAAGAGAGAGGGAGAGAGTTTGGATCCTACACAAGAGGGGGTGTGAGAGAAAAGAAAACAAGGGAGCACGAAAAAAGGGGAAATGGTGGGAAAAGCGAAAGAGACACAGACAAAGAGAGAGAAAGTGTGTGTGGTGGTGGGAGGAGAGATATAAATGGTAAAATCAGTCCTGCCAGTCGGTGGTGTGATGATTGGTGCAAGGGGGGGGGGCTTGTCAGGAAATCAATGTCGAGAGCCGGCAGCCCCGCAGACACACACAGGCGCACTGCAGCTCACACACCACACACTCGCAGCGCTTTGAGAGGGAGATGACGAGGTCCGGAGCTGCGCTCAACATGGGCTTAATGAGGCACAGCAGGGCCGCTCTGTGCTCTGCTCTGCTCTTCACACACACACCTTCTCACACACACACACCTTCACACACACACACACACGCCTTCTCACACACCTTCACACACACACACACACACACACCTTCACACACACACACACACACACACACACACACACACACACACAACACACACACACACACACACACACACACACACACACACACACACACCACACACACACACACACACACACACACACACACACACACACACACACACACACACACACACACACACACACACACACACACACACACACACACACACACACACATCTCTCTCTCAGGGCTCAATCTCATTCCTCACAGCCTCACACCACTTCTTCTTTGCCTGAATCTGTCCTTCAAACACACACGCACAAACACACTACCCATCCTCTCTTGCATCCACTTCAATCACGCTTAGATCATCAAGCCTCCGTTCCCCATCTCCTCTGGCCATTTCTTCATTCATAAACCATCACACTGCGCCATCAGTGTGTGTGTGTGTGTGTGTGTGTGTGTGTGTGTGTGTGTGTGTGTGTGTGTGTGTGTGTGTGTGTGTGTGAGAGATAGAGAGGGTGGGAGGTTGGCGGTAGGGGGGGGGGGCTGAGGGGTAATTTTGCATGCCTGCAAAGCCACATCCTCCCAAAACACACACAGCTTATCAATGTGCAGTCAATACGCGACAACCCTCCAGACACCCCGTCCTCACTTCGTTCTGACCTATTAAGCGCAGAGGTTGTTTCTTTTCGTTGTGTGTCCACCCCAACGCAAAAATAGAGACACATCCTCCTCACACCTTGTCCCTCTGGACCCGAGAGAGGTATGCAGCTGACGAGGCTCTGAAGCGAGACCATTTTGGCCCCCCCTAGCCGGCCCCTTTCCCTGCATCCATAAAACCGTCTACTTCTGAGTTATAACACCATTATATCGTCTGGCTTATTGCTAATCAATGCAGGGAAACTCCCATGGGAAGGGGGGGGGGGGGGTGGCACGTCTTTTTACCAGCCCAACTCCTCACACACAGATGGGTAGGAGGGGTGTACGCACACACACATCTACAATCGACTCCCAGAAGTGAGTTGCCGCTAACTTGCTAAAGCTTTACCCCCCCGCCACAGAGCGCATGCATTTTTCTTTTTCAGAATGTGTCACAAGATCCTTGCTAGGCATGGAAAATGAGAAAATATCTCACACACACACACACACACACCCACACAAGCATATTCACACTTGCGCTGCAGAGAGCGCTCATGGGAGTTTGAGCGACAGAAACATAGAGCCACAAAGCGTGAAGATGGGTGCACACACTCACAAACACACACACACACACACACACTTAACGGCTGACACTCACTCCCTTTTCAATTAGAGCGTCGGCTGGAACAGAAAAGAAGAGGACAGAGGGAGGGAGGGAGGTAGGGAGGGGGCTGTCAATGCTCTGTGGGGAGACACATGCTCTGGCAGACCAAACACATGCACATTAACACACATACACAAACATAAACACACACGCAGAGGGAAATGGCCACAGCAAAACAAGAGGGGAATATTATATTTAACGGAAGACACGGTGGTGGACATGGAAACAGAAATTGTATACACGACGGACAAAGACGTTAAATTATTTGTTGACTGATCAATTAGCCGATATAAAAATAAAAATAAATCAGCAACTATTTTGGGAAGTAATTCAAAAACCCATCATTCTGGTTTGAGCTCTTTTTTTTCTCAGGTATTGAATATAGTAAATCAAATATATTTGTTTTTCTATATTTTTCAGTTTTTCTATTTAAGGAGAAAACATTTTTGGGTGTGACCAAAAGTATATAACAAATTTGTGTAGTGACTTTAATAATATTTAATAAAAAAAAAATGAATATCTATTCAGTAAAGAAATAATTATAATAAAAATGGTCATTGTTCAGAATTCTGAGATTAAAGTAAGAACTATTCTTCTTTTTTGTTTTACTTTTTGTCACATCCCAAAATGGACTTCTTCCAAAGATGTTGGATTCTAAAAAAAGACAGAAAATTGAAACAAGAAAAAAAACAATCCACAAAGCAATAAAGGAAACAATTGTCCTCGACTCACTTCTCATATCTGTTGGTGCTGATTTCTTGGACCAGGTTGAGGTACAGGTTCACTGTGATGAGGCAAACCCAGGCCAAGGCACTCCAGTCTGCACACACACACACACACACACACACACACACACACACACACACACACACACACACACACACACACACACACACACACACACACACACACACACACACACACACACACACACACACACACACACACACACACACACACACACACACACACACACACACAACACACACACACACACACACACACACACACACACACACACACACACACACACACACACACACACACACACACACACACACACACACACACACACACACACACACACACACACACACACACACACACACACACACACACACACACACACACACACACACACACACACACACACACACACACACACACACACACACACACACACACACACACAGAAAACAACAAGGTCAAATTACAACACAGCTCCCCTCATCACACAGCATGCACCTGCAAGTGTGTGTCCAAACACACTTGTCTGTATGAGAGCGTGTGTGTGTGTGGGGTGCATGTGTTCCACTTTTTGATAAATGAAGGCCCATTCTGCAGTAATATGAGGGAAACCTGTGGCTAAGGGTGATGGATGAGAGGGGGGAACTCAGAGAGAGATAATGATGAACTGTGGAAAAGCAGAGCGAGATAAGCAGGGGTTGGGGGTGAGAGAGGAAGAAATGAGAAGGAGAGCGAGGTGAGGAAGGGGTGGAACTGAGTGGACTAAAGCAAGTGTAGTGAAACTGAAAAGGAAAAGAAATAAGGAAAGGGAATGGAGTTAGCAAAGTGGAAAGAAATTAATTAATTTTACAGAGACAAGGAAGAGAGTAGGAAGCTCACTTCAGTATTTTGCCCTTGTTTTCAGCCCTTTTCTGTGTGCATGTGGTGTGTGTGTGTGTGTGTGTGTGTGTGTGTGTGTGTGTGTGTGTGTGTGTGTGTGTGTGTGTGTGTGTGTGTGTGTGTTGACAGGACAGGCAGGGCTGGTCGTCACAATGATGGATTCTCTCAGCCGCATACTCAGCTTACTCAGTTTCGCACAACAAACCCCCACACAAATATACAAAACTCGCTCTCTCTGTACACTCAAGCACTGTTTAGGAATAGTGCGCAGTGACTAAGAAAGAAGGAGGCTGGCTGTCCATGTCATTGTCGAAATAAATCACTGTCACAGCGTGTCTTACATAACCTGACAACAGCCGAAGCGGTTTGCTTTAAAACTCGACAACGTACAGCTCCGATCCACCACCTGCCCCGGCTACCGTCTTCCTCCATTTCAAACACATTTCATAACCTTTTATTAGTCCGAGTTAAAAGCAAAGCTGCGCTATGCGGCTCCCACTAGACTCGGGGCTTCGCAACAGAACAAAGTGCCCGCTCAGCCGGTGTTTATGTGTGGCCGTTTGTCCTAAGCGTGAGGATCCTCGTGATAAAGCGAGGTGACAAGCAGCAACCCTGCAGCACTAACTCACTGCCCATTACCCTGTATCTGTCTGTGTGTGAGGGTGATGTGTGTCTGCCTGTGAGACCAATAAAACAGGCCTGGAGGAGAGTTGCATTAGCAGCCAGTCCTAACTGACAACCCTTATGCTAATTGGGGCTAAAGGAACTGTAATTGCAACAAATGCATCCAAGATTTTCAAGGTAAACACAATCCTGCCCTCATGAGTCCAAGAAATCCTACCAGTATCAACCACATTGAGAAGTTGCAGATGTGTCTGACAAACCCAAATGATGTGCTCATTGGAGGAAAATTAATGATGAAATACTAAGGCGTCTGGTTTGAGGGCGTGTACTGAATAGCTGCAATTGACTCCCACATGTTACACCATCGTTCCGGGTGTGGTATTCTTGGCATGGGTGTGTGAATATTCCTCCACCCTTGACAACTGGTGTATCTCAAAATGGCATGTAAACATTCACCGTCTCTTTCCTGAGAACATAGGAACAGCATGCACAATTTGAGTTGCCAAATTGTTGTCAAACAAGACAAGAGGATAGGCTGTTTCAGATAAAGGGCAGCAATAACCATTTGTTTACATTATTGATTCATCTGCAGGGGTTTTTCTACATTAGTCGTTGGGTCAATAAAGTGTCAGAAAATTGAGTAAAATGTATTTCCCATTATTCTCGAAGTCCAAGGTGATCTATATATATATCTTGTTTTTTCAGCCAAAGATATACAGTTTTATATGATATAAAAAGGAGACAAGCTGGAAATTGCCATACTTCAGAGTCGGAAACACATTCATTAAAAATGAATTAAATGTTAATCAATTATTAAAATAGTCGGGATTATTTTTCTCTCGACCGACTGACAACTAATCGTTACTGCTCTAATAAAATGTCAATTAAAAATATAACCATTCAATGAGAAGTAATTACCATAAACTCAATGTAAGACACATTAGATACAATAATGAAAAAGGCATAAAGAAGAAGCACTGAAGTCCGGTTATTTGGAGACACCAATATGCTTTTTTTGTTTTGTATTTTATATACATCTGCAAGGCTTTAGTACTCTCTTTGACTGATAGGAGTGACTTTGCAATTACTTATTTAAAACGTTTATCGCTTTCAAAAGCTCACTTTCTAGCCTGTATATCCTCGAGTAACAACTCCCTGCGTTGCATTTCAAATAAGCTCTGGGTGAAAGATGCAGCTATAAGACGGAGCATCAGTGTCAAAGCACATTTTGTTCTCAAGCTAAAAAAAAAAGAATGAGGAAATGACAAAGTAATATTATTTCACACTGTGATTTACGAGCTCTTCAACAGATGTCTTTGTTGCATTTTTTCTGGCATACTCAACCTCTATTGTTAAAAGTGTGCCTGCGACTAAATAACTAAGTTTCGTCTTACCAAAGTAAGTTAGCCAGCAGGCCTGGAAGTCACAAAGCGATCCCTCTGGATGTGAATCACCCTAGGTAAGAAGGAAGAACAGCACAGAGACATATTTTCAGCTAAAAGAAAACTCTGCTTTGTGGGTGTTTAGTGAAGCAAGCTCAAGTAACTCACCATGACATATGCTACGCTATCGAAGAAGGCAGCTACAGTCAGGCTGAGGATCATCTTCTGTACAGGGAAAATGAGAGGAAGACTTGAAGCGGGATTCTCTAACAAAACATCCCAACTTAATATGGCAGCACATTTACATTCACGTAGAGAGAAATTACACATCAAATAAGCACTGATGCGTCTGACAGCTTGGCGTCTCTGGCGACAACGCTGCGAAAATATCACAGGATGGAGGAAAAAGACTGCTTAACTTCTTCTATATAAACTAAAGTCATTGTATTTGATTTGATATCATCCGATAATCTGTGCCCTAAGAAGATAGCTCTTTTAAGAGGTGGTTAGAAAAATGCACATACATACACCCAGCCCTAGTTTGTGTCCAGCAATGACTCTGCCAATAAGATAAGATAAGATAATAAGTACTTTATTGATCCCAATTTGGGAAATGTTTGCGTTGCAGCAGCATAAAAAGACATGGCATTGTACAATAAAAACTAAAAGACAAGAAATAAACATTCCAAAATGTAAACATCTCAATAGAAATAAAATAGCATTAAAAAGTTGAAGAATATACATGTTGAATTACAAATGTACAGTAACAAAATATAAAGCAGGATATTATATATACATAAGTATGTGAGGAATGGAATATGAAATAATAAATTGAATATAAATGTAAAATGTACAGTGTGATTTGAAGTCCAATGCTACAGAGGAAGAGGAGTGAGAGACAGAAAAAGCCCTAAAGAAAGAGCATTAAAGTTTATGACTGACAGGTAACCTTTGTGAGGGGATGGAGGTGAGGGCAGTGTGTGTTGTTAGGGGAGCTGGAAGAGGTGACGCTACTCTGAGCGACCTAGTGCGGAGGTATCAGAGCCTCATGCTAAACTGTCGTTTACTTCAGATTAGGAGGATAACGTGAAGTGCTGCAAAACCTGAGAGACCAGCCGGACTGCCTTTAAAAACATCAAGCAGGCTGCAAACTCAAACACTGATCTGCTTTAGACTTTTGAATTGTGGATAAAAGAAAACATGTGGAGGGAAAAGCACATTTACACTAATATTATTCAGTCTGTCGTGTGACCTAAAGGGGAAAGAAAGCCGTCATTATCACAGAACAACCATGAGTCAATTAACTGCGCAATTAATTAATCTGTGCATTTTAATTGGGTTCAATTATGCCAAGATTTGCCATGGCTAATTGAACATATTTCCGGTGGCAATGAAGCAAATAGAAAATGAGGGAAAAAGAGAGTGTCAAAGCATACTCTAGTGTAGTGGAAATGTACCTGAGCCAAAGAGTGATATCTGCGAAGTAGCCAGATCACAAGGAGCATGAAAATACTGTGGAGATAAGAAAGTAGAGAGATTATTGCTAACTGAAAGCAAACAGGGCAAACCATTTGGTGTTGTAACAATGATATACCAGCTTACTGAACTCATATAGGCCTACATCATAAAAACTTAAACTCTAAATCCCTGCAGATTCTGCAGCAAACGTTAATCTGGTGATTTTATTTAGCTTAGTGTACGATTACTGGCCGTTAAAGACATTTTAGACTGAAACAAATGAGAGCTGCAGAAAACCTGCCAAAGACCTGCTCAGCAGCATTTGAAGGAATGATTTCCCCGGCCAAAAAGCTAAATGCTGAAGCCAAAATGTTAAGATGCAGTTCATCAAAATGCCACTAAAAGCCACCTGCAAAATACAACTGTCTATTGAAATAAATGGGAAATAACTCTGATTTCTGTGAAATTATAAATGTCCTTTTGACCATAGGAGAAACGTGTCCCAACATAGTAATTTCCCTTGTTTGTTTAAAAAAGTATTCGATATAAGTCATTTGTAATTCCATAGTGCCCTGGGATTTGAAAAAGTTTAAATAGAAATCTTTCAGTCTCATTTAAAAAACTATATTTTAAAAGCAAATATTGCATGCAGTTATGCACACCACTTTACAATAGACTTTAATAACTTTTACTTCCTTGGCCATACATGTTTGACAGAGGGTGTAGCCAGTACAACAACACTGCAAATTACACAGAGTGAATCAAAACAACTTGGACAAAGCCTCAACAAAAGCTGGTTATTACAAGCTTTACAAAGATGAGATTTATTACAGGGTGACAGAAGTGGTTACTGTTTGCACAAGTTAAAAAAAAAACCTGCAGTTTATTTTTTGTAAACAAAGTAATGTTCACAATTAGTGTGTCTGACAAAGTGTTTATCCTGCACTAATAAAACCTTTGCAAAGCTAGTTTGACATAATTTAAATCCACAGGGACCAAATCATTATTAAAAAAAAACTGCCAACATATCAGATGTAAAAAAAATATACATGAAAAGGTCAACTATCTGGTGCAAAATCAAAGTTAAGTCTTTTTTGAGGAGTAAATAAATTGAAGAAATATTTACCATCCTACTAAGGAGAAGGTTCCTGTGGCTCGTTTTACTGTTAAAATCACCACCTGTAAATGAGAAACAATTCATTATAGCTCAACTTCATTAATAAGAAAGAATCAGTTTATCAAAGTGTATCGTAAATGTATTCATTATTTTCTCTGTGTAATATTTTTCAAAGCACTGTGCAAACTTCCTGAGGAGTGCAAGATAAACACAGAGCCACCATGATTATAATCATAGGCTCAGAAATTACTGGGTTGACAAGACTGCTATTTGTTCAAGCATGTCTGTTGTGTTTGTTTGCAAGCATGTGGGTAATTAAAGTAAGTACAACAAAATGGAGTTTGCATCTACTTCAGGCAACAGTTGTAACAGAATTGTGAATATTTGCACTCTACTTCTGACACCTTTAAGACATGTAAAGGTGTTTATGACCTCCACAAGCATGATGCTTTTGGAAGCCTTTGAGTGCTGTTAAATGACAGCTGAGAAAAATGACAGCCTAGAACCTGATACTCTACATAGTTTGTGCAAAGCAACATCCAAGCTGAAACTGATCTGAGAGCAACAAGAGAGGGAAGAGGAAGAAGAGCGGAGGAATGAAAAGAATGAGAAATGTGCGAGTCAGTTCAAGAAGCTTCAGGGAAAATGAAAGGGACCCGTTGTAGTTTTACAGTAAGACATGTCAACAACACTGAGTTGTGCAACACTTCTGCTGTGGCCCTCAGCACACAATGTCCTACACGTGTCCTCTGAGCAGCGACAACAGACCACTAACTTCGATCAGTCTAAAACCTGCAATTTAATGTGTTGCAATGTAAAGAAAACCGAGATATCTATACAAATGACATGACTGATTTATTTAATTCATAGAAGTGACTGTCAAGTTGTATTTAAAATTTTCTTTGCAGTAGATTTCTGATTACACTAGTATAGGAGGATTTGTTTTTCTGATGCTTTCTACAGTGTTATTACTGTTTTAATTATATTTAAATGATGGCTTTCAAGTAGTGATAGAGTGATAAAAAGCCTACAACAATGAACTAAGTTACACATTATTTTATAGAAAATTAAATGAAAGATCTTGCTTTATGTAAACTTGTGGAATTTCCTTCTGGTAATAGTCGCGCAAGCATCTCTGTCATTGGTTGTTGCACTTGGATTTCATTAGACAATTATCAATATATTGCAAAATATTTTTTCCCCACTTTTTTCATAGGCTGTGTATTAATCAGCTATCTGGTTTAGGCTAAGTAGTAGAACTAACATAGTAATTTTAAACACAACAGGTAAACAAACTACCTGCTACTGCTATCACAGAATCCATTGAGACACACTCAATCATTGACATTGAGCCCACTTCAAAGTCGCAAGATAAAATCCCAGAACAAAAGTATATATTATTTATCTTGGACAGTCTATATTTATGAACATAACATACTACCCTCTCGGAGCAAAACAAAACTGAATCATTACCTACATATGTGACAATCTGTTGTTCAACTGACAAAGAACAAGGGATGATACGGAGAACAAAACAACTCGACTGCATGAATACTGATGAAATTATGAGGAATGTATGGATAGTTTTAGTTTGAACAGTGACACGAAACTCAAACTGGTACAGCCAGCTTGGTCAATGTGGGCCATCTGTATCTGGGTTATTCAGACAGCTTAAGGGACCCTATGATCAATGTCTTTCAATTACAAGATACTGCTTGATGGGAAAATAGATAACTGGGCTAAAGGCAAGACAGCATTACTGCAGCATTCTTAGTTAAGTGTGGATCACAACCTGGAGCCTTAAGCTGCTTGCATGCAAAGTTACTGTACACCTACACCTTTTCACAAGCTCACTACACGCAATACTACTTCAGTCTGGATTCAGTCGGTTATCTCCTGACAAAGTTATTCTGAATACAAGAACTATTGACTGGTTTATTATCATCTACATAAATCTGCAGGTTGTGGACTCAATACCACAACCACCTGTACAATTGTATGCAATATCATTTGAATCTATGTTTGTGAAGGTTGTGATGCAGTTTTTGTGCTTGAGACTTTACTTTGAGGTATTATTAAGTCTATGGTAGGTGATCTTGATTTGGATTACACTATGTTGATTAAGCATTTATGCAGCATATGAATAGGCCTATTTCTTATGTTCAACTTGCATACATTTCAAATCACTAACCTAAATGTAGCTGAGCTAAATGATACAGTGTTCCCTATGAGTCTTCAAAAATAAACGTGTAACTTTTAGCTGTTCACTAAATGTAGTGGAGGGAAAAGTACAGCATTTCCCAGATGTGGAAGAAGTACTCAGATCTTGTACTTAATACAAATTAAACGTACCAGAGTGTAGGAATACTCTGTTACAAGTAAAAGTCCTGCATTTAAAATGTAACTCAAGTAAAAGTACTAAAGTATTAGCATCAAAATATACTTAAAATACCAAAAATAAAAGAACGCATTAATATGCAAATTGGCACATTCCAGAATACTATATTATATGTTTTGATTATAATTATTCATGCATTATTATTCAGTGTTATCAAAGCTGGTAAAGGTGCAGCTAGTTTGAATTACTTTGTATACTTCACGGTAGCTTGTGAATTTACTCCAGGTGTGATTAAAGTTCTATTTAAGTGAGGTTTATACTTCACATTATCAATCCAAATCTTCAAACTACCTAAAGATATTAAATAAATGTACTGGAGTAAAAGTACACAATTTACCTCTGAATTGTAGTGGGGTGGAAGTATACAAAGTAGCAAACCATTGAAATACTCAATACAAGTCCCTCAAACGTGTACTTAAGTACAGTACTTGAGTAAATGTACTTAGTTACTTTACAACACTGTAAACATGTATTGGAGTGAAGGTATAAAATAGCGTAGAGTAAAACAGAAATACTCCCTTAAAGTACGAGCCCTTCAGAGTTGTTATTCAGGAAAGACATTCTTAGGCACTCTCTGTCTCTGATTTTGTTGTTAGTGTTGCTATTTTTATCACATTCAGCTGGCAAAACAGGTTCACATGTTATCATTATAAGATAAGACGATGCTTATCATTTTTTTTTCTAAACATAACAAACATACTCTTTCCGCCTGCATGTCTCGTTTCTAGAACAATGTGGGTAAACAAGCTTTCATAACGTATGAGAAACATCATCTTAAAATACATAAAGCTGGTAATGCTCAGCTAGGTTAGCTTAAGGTAGCTTGTTAGCTTATCAGACACAATTGAGTTATATTAGCTCTTCAGGAGCAAGTGGGGATTAGCTCGTTTAAATTAGATGCACTTTAATGGTAATAATCAACCAGTTAATGAAGTTAGCTAGCATGCTAGATGACTGAAAGCTTAGTTACACGGTTACTGTTGAACACTAGGAACCATGCAGGTGTCAGGCATCCATGCATCAATTTATTAATCGATTAATAAATAAATACATCAGTTGGAGTTAATAATTACCAACCCATAGTGAGTTAAAAGTAACCGTTATGTTGCTAACGAGCTAATTAGCAACAAAAAAAGCGAACATTGATTTACAGTTACGTTAGCTACTTACGCATCGATAGTCTTCTGAATCTGTATTAAAAAACACGCAGCGTGAATCGTTACTCGTAGACTTTGAGTTTTGACTGTCCATTTTTAGTCACAATGGTTTATTTTTTTATTAATTCGCTTCAATTTGTTGATGTGTTGCTGTCGCCTTTTCTTGCACTTCCTGTTTCTACGGTGCGCGCAAAGGGACAAAAAGGGGAGAGCCAGCGTTTTATCTATCTCGTCAGAGGGACAATCGAGAGTTTGACTTTAACATTAAAACTCTGCCTTTATTCGATGTACTTCTTAATTCATTTTGTTTATCTTCACTTTATCAGAAATAACCAACCCTTTATGTTTGGAGAAATCCCCTCCCATGCTTGTAGGGTTTTTTAGGTGGTTTCAACACATCAGTCAGCAGTGAAACTAAATACATCATGTCATTTCACTACTTTTACTTTTACTTAACAACATTACTAACAAGGATATGTACTTTTTTCAAGTCAGACACATGGGACGGTTATTATTTGCATTTTTTGTAATATGAAGCAGGAGGCAAACCCACTAATTACTTAATCAATTGTCTTACATTCAAATTGATGTTCAATTAGCACATTTTTAATCTACTTAGAGTAAAATAGACAATAAAGCATTTTTTTTAATACAAAACACAAGTAGAGCCTATACAATATGATGCATCATTAAACTACCCAACAGTAATAAGGTGCTCAAACTTAAAAGCTTCACACAGCTTTAACAGTAGATGCTTTTCGGTCATTGCACCCGTCATACTTTTGACTACTTAATACTTTCCTGCTTCAATGCTTGATACTACCCTTATTTATTGCTAATCATTTCCTATATTTACCTACTCGTACTCAAGTCTATTTTATGCATGCATGATCTTAACTTGTCATACTTTTCTACTTTTTAAGTATATATTGTTTTTTCCCCGACTGATATCAGCAAACTTTCCTGTCAAACCCTGCTGTTTGTGCACTGCTAATATCCCTTTGTGTTTACAAATTAATTTGGATCTCATTATCAGAAACACTATCAAAAGGCCCCAGGAAGAAGTTTTGTGTCCTCCTGCTCACAAGTGTTTTGAGATATTGACTGTAAAAGTACTGCTATTCAGTGATAGCCTCTGGCATTCACCTTAAGGTTATTGATAATGTTACCTCCGTGGATGCTTTTGAAACCAGCAACTTAATTCAGTGAAAAACAGAAAGGCATGTTAACTTTGTCCCGATTCTTCAGAATGCCGATAGGAGTGGCAGCATTTCCTGTAAACGCTTTGAACCAGTGAAAATAAAAAAATGTCTGGCTGTTTCTCTTTTAAGATGTTTGAGTAGTTGCTCCCTTGAAGTCTTTGGTTTAATGTCAACTATTCTCCATGCCGTTTTGTGTCCACTATTGCTTGCTTGTTGAGGACTATTAAAGTGACTTTCTGTTTCCTCTGGTTTTGTCTTTCCACTGAATAAAGCCAATTGAACATTATCTTTAGGACATTTTTGCATTTGCTCTCATTGTTTTGTTTGGGTTTTATGCAAAGTGTGCGGGTGTGAAAGAATGAAAGTGAAAAGTGGGTGTGTTGCACTATTGACCTAATGTGACACTGAAACCCAAGCTGCACCCATTTTACTCTTGGCCTTTGAGGCTGTTCCTATAACAACAATGAGGGAGATGTGTTGTTTATTATTTCAAACTGGCAGGTTCTAACTTAAAACAAGATCTGTGTATGCAGGCACACGAGCACACATATCTTTCTTCAAAAATATAAATATAAGGGTAAAAACCAAATTGACTGATTTCAGTACATACTTTTAATTGTACCCACTGCCTGCAGACCCTACTGTGCTGTACAGTTGACGTTTATTCTATTTTGTTCTACAATACATCTGATGCACCGTATTCTGGAAATATTCCCTTTTGACACAAACAAATTGAAATAACTACTTTTAGATGCATTCAAATTGGCCCTTTTATAGGTTATAATATGGAACAAAGCAGCATTCCCCCCTCTCGCTCTTCACTGAGAGTTCAGATGTTTCAAGGTATTGTCACTTGAAGCTTTATGACTGACAACATTCTTCAACCAACAGGTAACTGTGAATCCACCTCTGAGGGGACACTGTGTTACAAAGAGGTCAAATGATGTTGTTCCTATGTCTTTTCTTAACATAAATTAAAGAATTTAACAGAATTTTCAAGTAAGACAGCAGTTGAAACTTATTCTTTGCAGTGTGTGCATGCTATTTGAATGGAAATCTGTGCCAAAATAACTCTGTGTTTAATTAAACCTGTTTTCCTAACTGAGAGAACATAACTGAAGACACTCCCAAGAAGAGATGCAGACAATACTGCGTCTGTCTTTATTATTCAATGTTTAAATAATGTTCCAAGTAAGTTTGTACTGCATATTGTAGTCCTTTCAAATTTATAAAATAAAACCTCCTTGGTCCTGAAGAAAAACATATTGCATAGACCCTCACACACATAACAATAGAGACTACAACATCACTGTTGTGCAATAAAACTTGTGTGCAATGCAAACTGGAATTATTTTACGGATGTTACTTGTAAATATAAATATATATGTTTTAATTTTAAATATTATGTGCATACCCTTTCTTATAGTGTTTTATTCTTAGTCTCTATCTTCACTTTTGCCGTAAAAATGTACATTCCCCTCTGTGGGAAGAATAAAGGTATTCTGATTTCAATGTTTTTATTATGTTTTGTTTAAGATGTATGAAACATGCTTTTTTTATAAAGCACAAAGCTAGTGTGTCAGGTAACCCATATACTACTGGATCATTTGTTATTGGTCTATTTGTTTTTTGGATTAGCCAAATTCAGTTTTTGTGATGTAATTTTTGCTCATGACAGAATGTTTAAGAAAAACAATACGAAACAAGTGAAGTAAGTTCATATCAAAGTTTATTTTCAGAAACAAATAAGTACAAAAATGGCGCAGAAGGTGCATACAAAAGCACTTGCTTATTTTGACAGATGGACATGGTCCAATAATAATAATAATAATAATAATAATAATAATAATAATAATAGCAAATACATGACAATAACAACAATACATCTTGTGGAAACCCTCATTATGCTCCATGCAGAGGCATTATCACTTGATGCTGGTTCAATGGCCATGTAGGGCATTAGGAGATCACAGGCAACAGCTACAGTGAGCATCTGCCTCCTTCCATGCAGGCATCATTTAAAGTCACAGACACATCAGATTTGAAGGAGAACTAATCATACAGAGACACATACATCTGAACACACTGACATCCTCAGCAGCACAAACAGGAAGCTGGATCTTTCGTCAGTATCCCCCCATAGAGGGGCGGTTCAGACAACAGGTCCTGTAGTTCATGCAGTCCACCTCTCCTCCAACTTTGAAATAACATTTGGCTCTCAAACTATACAGAGTGAGGTAATAAAAAAATACATTACATTAAATAAAAAGGTTTTAAATATGTTTCATATATGCATCACAGGTGCTGAATGCAATATGTGTTCAAAAACGTTGGAGTGCAAAACATATTCGTTTGGTGTTAAGTACACAAATGCTTTCATCAGGTTCAACACATCTACAGTCAATAATACCACCAAGTAGAAAGGGAAATAAGCTGTCTTTCTTTCTCTACCATTCAAATGATTGTCCATACATTTCATCAGTAGTGACAGCAGCAGCAAAGAGACCCAATTGAGAAAAGTCAGTTCAGCCAGTCCAATAGAAATAATTCTGTTTTTTCAGTTTCTGTGGTTCCGAGCTTAGTGGCACATACCGATCTCCTTCTGGTATCGCTTGGTGAGAGAGTCAGCCTGCACGGTGAGCTTGGACAGGACCCCTTGCAGCCCGGTCAGGTGGAACTGGAACTGCTTCTGCAGATCCTCGTCTTCCTCCTCTTCCTCCTCGGATGAAAAGGATGATAGTGATGATGCGGAAGAGATGGACGCGGAGGAGTTCTTGCGGCTGATCACCATGCTCTCCTTGTGCCTCTCATCGGCCTCTGCACGCCTCACCCCCACCTGGATGTCCCTGCGGATGGACTTGAGCAGCTCGTAGTAGCTGTACATGTCCCCCTCGTCCTCATCCGATTTAATGGAGTTCGTCATCTCCCTGTCCTCCTCCAGCTCCAGCGGGACGTCCATGAGCATGCTGGGCAACATGACCGTCTGGTCCATGTTGTTCACGGCGCCGATGAATCTGTTCATGGCGTTGAACAGGGAGTTCTTCTGCGACGGGGATTCTTGCTGCATCATCATGGTGGCGAGTTTCTTTCTTGTGGAAGATCCGAGTTACTTGTTTGTTTCTCCTCTGTGGCTTTATTTCCGGGCTGATCGGCTTAGAGTAGCGTCTGCTTGGCTGTAATTCTTCTGCGGGGATTGGCTGTCGTGTAAATCAGGCGAGTTTTTTCCCTTGTGTTCAGTGTTTGAGCTCTTTTCGTAGTTTCTGTTTTGTGAAGAGAAAGGTGTGCGTTTTTATAGGAAAGGTTTCCGGCTTTAGAGGCGGTCCCACAACCTGTTTGTCAAGTTTGTCTGCAGTTGAAACCAGAGCTAAATGACCTGAAGTAGCACACAACAGAGAGGTTTGTCATTTCTGTCAGAAAGGGGAGTGGCTTTAAATTGACAGTTAGGGGGGGGGTGAAACCAACTCAGCAACATGCACAGCTACAGACACGACAAAGCTGTACTCTTTATCGCGCGTAATTACGCACAACAGTTGTCAATTCAACCCAGTGTTATCACAAACTTAACTTGTAAAAAATGTGCTGTTCTGTGAGAATATGTGCTTGGATTTCCGGTGAAACAAATGACATCACCAAATCGCACATTCTGTTCCGATGACAGGCAGGGTGAGGCCTGACCGAGCAGGACCGGTGATATACATATTCATTAAGCCAGCCATCAGCCCACTGCTCAGCCAAACACACAGCCAATCAGGGGGCCGTGGAGGCGGGACAAGTCCATTTTGGACTAATGACGAGGCCACTGTTGACTCGCTCACGTTTTGGAAGAAAGAAGCAACAAGTGTTTGAGAATTTCAGATTTTCACTGATTATATGTTTCATTCGTAGACTTACACTTACTGAGTCACCCATAATCGGAAGAAGTATTCTAAATGTTTACAAGTTGTTTATCAGCCAAATATACTTCC